CGCGCCGTTGGCCGTGCCCGGGGTGGCCGCTGGCGGCTCCCGGGCCCGGAGGCGGCTGCAGGCGGGCGAGGGGTCCCCGCAGGCCCTTCGCTGTGCCGCACGCTGCCAATTTCGATTGTGGTTGGAGGAAATTTAATTAAACCGAGAACTGTAATTCCGGGAACCACCGGGGGAGGTTGTAAATTGCGCGCGCGAGTGTGCGAGTGTGACAGAGGCCGCGCGGGGGAGAGAGCGCGGACGAGCTCTGGGAAGTAAATAAATGACAAGCCGGGAAAGGAAGCCTGGAAGAGAAAGCAGAAAACATCTCAACTTCGGCCTTCTTCCAAGGATTCACACATTCCCCGTCCCGGCTTTAATTGAATTGTATGAAGTGCTAATATTAAGCACACTTGGCAGCCCGCTGACATGACTGCCTTTTTAAATAAATACTTGTGAGCGGCCATGTTGACCTTTCATTGGGCTGAGAAGGTTGAAAGGTGCAGCAGGGAACACTGCTGGAGTGCTGAGGCTCACTGGGCCAGCGGTCTGAACCTCCCCTTCACTTTAGTGGGCAAGAGCCGCCCTCTGGGTACTGAACAAAGAGAGAATAAATCAGATCCCGTGCAATTCTCAACAAATACCTAGCCTTTCAGTCACTCCTGACAAATGGCTCATACAATTTTTTAATAAGTCAAGGGGCAGTAAAGTCCCCACTAAACTGTCACTAATGTGAATAGTATGGGATTTTCTAAGGCTGCTTTTACAAGGAGTGTTTCACCTGGATGATTTTTATTCTTGTTTCTTAATAGGCGGTGTTTCTATAGTACTTCATATTTTAATGCCCTTTTAAAAAATCCACAGGATGGCCTAGCTTGACCCCAAGATTCTCAGTTCCTCAAGGACAGAGATAAAGTCTTGGGTCTGTTGTTTTATGGCACCCTGTGAAATGGCATAGCCTAATAACCTGGGTCCCGCTCTGCTGAGGAATTCGCTGGGGTACTGTGAAAATTAAGATTGGTGAGGCTGATGTTTAAGATGGACAAGAATCCCCTTGCTTGCTGTGGTCAGCCGTAGCCATCTGCTGAGGAAGGATCAATATTTCTTTTTGTCTCCTTCACTAGAGGAATATGTGTCTTTGAGGTTTTATTTAGATGGACTGTTGGCTGGTAAGTAATAGAAGTGAAAATTTTTTCCAACCTGGGGGCGTATTAGGCTGTTTCTGTTTTGTTCCAGATGCCTAGCTTGAAAGTACCCAAAGGCACTATGTAGAGATACCTTCAAAATAAGTTACATTTTTTATTATTAAAGTATTTGTATTTCGTAACTTGTATACACTCTTGCTAGCTAACGTGCCCAGTTGCTGTAATACGGTGGCATGGGGTTTCAAACATAGACCACAGAGGATGGTACAAGTAGTGAGTTATGTTCCTTATTTTAAATCTAGTTTTTACCACTACTTTATTCAAGGAGTGTACATCAGAGGAAGCCAAAAGCCAGCTAGAATAGTTCCTGAGTGAAGTTTATATCGAAGGCGAGAAACCATCTGGAGCAGGTATGTAAAGCCATGCAAGTAGTAGGTGAGCGTCCTCCATCCTTCACCTGGTATCAGATAGCAAGGTCTAGGGACACAATCACTCGGGGAAGAATATCCGAAATGAAAAGTTTTAGCTATGGTTAGCATAGGTGTGAATCTAGACTCCTAACTCCTCATCCCACTATAGCCTCAGAGGAGAGGAAACATGAAAACATTACTCTCCTTTCTTCCAGTGCTTACCAAAGTTAAAGTTCCTAGAGGCAGAAGCAAAGCTCAAGCTGTCTACTACTACTTTTAAAACATATCCATCTGAAGTATTTCATCAGACCATTTCACCAGTGATATCTGAGTAACAGCCATTGCACTGTTAAATAGCCTTCACCGCCGAGGTATTGTGTTCTGTGTTTTTCAGTCTTTCTCCTACTCAGGGTGTGAGTTTCTGAAGAGCAAGGACGATGTCTTATTTATTTTTAAATTTCTAGTACCTGGAACAGCACCTGGCATGTTGCAGATGCTCAGTACATGCTATAGAAATGAAAAGACAGTGTCCCTGAAGAGATGCTGGATCTATAAGGAGTGAAAAAACACCACTGGGAGTGCAACAAGCTAGGCAATAGAATATAAAACAGTAACCTGAAGGAGGTTATTTGATGTATTTAGAAATCACGCTTCCATAAATAACACGGAGTAGGGAAGGACATAGTTGAGAATTTGTTAAATGTTCACCAAAGTTGTTTCCAAGGAGTTCTGGCCTAGTCAGTTGTAGGGCATTTGTTGTGTTGAGTGGAATACGCAAACTTAGAGGCTCCACTAGCCCTGTCTCCACACTCCCTCCAGGCCTGTGGAATTCAACTCTTTACCCAAATATCTGTTCAACAAACATTTGAAGAGTATCCAGTTGAAGGTATACCAAATTATTAGCTTACTAGGCCTTAAAGATGGAAGAACTATATATGGTTGCTATTTTAAGTCTAAATAGGTTGTTCAAATAACATTGAAGGAAATCCATACTTGTCTTATCTACTTTACTAACAGCATTCCAAGAAGTTCAAAATTCACAGGTCTTGTGTTGTAATAGGGCAGCCACATGCTTCTCTCTGTTGCCAGTGGGATTGCTGCAGAATCCAGAATGTTACGACTGGAAACAAATGAATTTCCTCTCATTGTTCCAGTACTTTTTCATAGTAATCATGAAAGAGCAGGGAAATGATTTTAAGTTTAGTCAGGAGGGAAAGACATGACATTGAATTATTTCTTTTTTTTTTTTTAACCCTTTACTTCTTAAAACATGTAGTCCTTCCAGTCAGCCAAGAGAAAGGGTACTGTTATTTAATGGAAATTCACTCAGCTAAGGCAATTTGGGACATAAGCCTGGGAAGAAGAGATCTAAATTGAGCTGTTTCTCCAGATTAAAAAATGAAATTAATGTGAGTCTTCTTAGATTTAGAGAACAGAACCTCATTCTTATGGTAAAAGAATTCTGCCATCTGAAGCTGAGACTTTTCCTCACTCTCAGCATCCTTAAATTAAGCCTTATGCAAAATGTTGTGTCTGTTTGGTATACCCTGAGGATTAATATGTAAAGCTTTTTGAGATTTTTTTTTTTTAGAAGAAAGGGGGATGAACTTGGAGATCCCTTCTTCTCAAAGTCTGTGTTAGTCTTGTTATATATGAAAAGAGAAAATCGAACCAAAAAAACACAGTATGAAAGACTTTAGGCTCCTTGTCCATAAAGCAAATTTCCTTATCCATGAAGCAAGGGCAGTATCCAAAGTCACTTGCCAGTTCCAAAGTATGAAATAATCTATCTTTGATAACTATTTAAAAATAAACAGACTAGGACGTAGAAGAATACAGAATCTCACATAACAGAGGCTCGCCAGGGCCTGACTTCAAGACTGGATGGTTCTCAACATTCACACTGAGCTCTGTACTTCTACATGCCCAAGGTCTTGCTGGATCACAAGTCCAAGGAATGTGGATTTAGCAGCTCATATGTCCATGGGTAGAAATGAACGAAATTTCTTTCCACTCTCTTGTGGTAATGAGGATAACTTTTATTTCTTTGGCAAAATGAATTTGAAAGGGGTGGAATATTAGTGGCAAATGAAAGACATTGCCTGGTGGAAGGTTCCTAAATTGCAAACACTTGTTTTTGGAAGTGGGATTGTATGCTTTTTAAATGGCGGGGAAACTAGCATTTGTACTAGTGGGGTACAATAAAACTAAGATGCTTTAATGAAATTGTCTTCTTCCTGGGTCAGTATTAAGTATCGGCGATATTTAAAGAGAATGGGTCGTGCTGGCTAAAAAGGAGAGTGTGGGAAGGAGTCAGCATCATTCCTTATACTCTTTGTTCCCATCTCTTGAACTAGAATGATTTTGCCCTCATCTTAATGCTTTCTTTATGGAATGAAGGAATTTTCAAATTGGTTTTTAAACTCTATTAAGCCCTCATGTATGATATAACCCAACCACATTATTCAGGTTTTCTTGGCTTTCAGGAACAGCTTTGCAGCCATTATGTCATAATTGAACTGCACATTGTTGTGCACTCTGAATTTGGAATATGCTGCTCTGGCTTCAGGCCAGTTGCTGAGTCAGTGTCTTTGGGGTTGAGGGTGGAGGTGGGGTACAGTGTGTGTGAGCCTCATTGTGTTAACAGGGATTAGCCCAGAATTCCCTTGGACTCTTGGGTGCTTAGAGGGAATGTATCATGAGAGTATGTTACTGTTCTTGATTCACATCATCATTTTATTTTTCTCAGCTGAATGTTTTTCTAGAAACCTTTCACTGACATTGTCATGTGCACCAACCCCATTACCTAGTAGACTCCACTGAAGCAATGATCTGGAAAGCGTGACTGCTAAGGTCACACTTCTAAAACAAACTCTACCTACGATAAAGACTTCTCTCCCCTTCTACTTCATATTCGTCTTTCCCAGGGCAAAGATGGTCGTGCTTCTGCATGTGGAAGAGAATGCCAGGATGAAGAGGATCTGTCATCAAAAATGATTTTTAAAGTGTGTCTAACAGTAAGAAAGAAAAATGCATTATTTTTCCTTTTAGAGGAAGCTTTTTCATCTCCGATGCACAGTCAGTTGCAAGATGACTGGCTGGCCACTCTGGTGTCCCCTCTGCCATTTCCCAACTCTGTCCTTTCTGACAGTGAGGCTTCACAGTTGTGACTGAGGAATGAGAGAAGAGGCCACGAGCAGGTGCCTTTACACCTCTGCCTGAGTCTGTGTGTGCCTCTGGGTCCTCTTTAAAGGGCTGAGCATTTTAGGCTCCTACAGATAGAAACTGCTTCATATTCTTCAGTCCTTTTGCTGGCACAGGCTATTCCCAAGGCATTTTTTTCAGCATGTGATTTCCCCTTTTCTGATCATGAGGAAGTTTGCGGCCCAAAGCCTCAGACACAATTTCTTTGCATCTCTAAAATTAGAGAACAGGACAAGTGGTGGCATTCCCACTTAACAGTTGACAAAAACTGAGGCTTAAAGAGATGAGGACTCACCCAGTATCTCAGAACTCGTTAGTGGCCATTGCCTTTCCCTTTGGGGTTTCCCTTTGGGGTTTATATTTATGAAATGCTCACCTAAAAATGCACTCAGGGAATCCACACATGGTGAATTCCAGCTGAAACTGTACAGGAAGAGTAACTTTAAAGCTCTAAATGAAGAGTTACACCGTTTATGCGTAATTCCCCCATCTGATTAGTGGGTGGGAGCTATGTGGAGTTAAATTTATTTTGACCACTCTAGGCAGTTTATTCAGAACTCCTTAGAACACATTTTGTCTTTAAAGTTTATCAATAAAATCCAACTTTATAATTACCTAAGCAGCTTCTTTTTTGATATACATGGTTTGGGGATATCATTGGTAAAATGGTAATGGTATTGAATTTTTCCTTTGAGAAATAAAGATAAATACTGAGAAAGAGCAACTGGAAAGGAACTGGCCTTTGCTTAAAACTAAATTTCAGTGCCCTCTTTATGATTTTGTGAAGGCTGGGTAAACTTAAGCCAATGTCGGGTACCAGGGTATTGGCTACTTAGTCTTACCTAGTCTTAGTGACATCCTGAGCAGCAGGTAAATATGTTGGATCTTAGTCATGTTGTGTGTTGGAAATTCCAATTTAAATAATGTTCATAATCAGAAACTTTCACCTTTTTCTATACAAAGTATTTTTCAGTGTTGCAATTCCCTTTCTGAGACTACTAGTATTAGATATTTAAATCTTCCATTTGAGGCCAGTAAAAGCACGTTTCAGTCAACAGAATCACTATGTCAAAAATAACAATACCATACTTGTAGTGTTACTTAGTAATCAGTAGGTAAACCTTATTTCTCTGTTCTACTTTAAACTTAAAGATTTTTACATTTGTCATCTCTTTCTAAGATACCCAACTTTTGCCTACATTCTTCTCCCCCAGCCCACTAACTCTGTCTTCATCAAAATATACTTCAGTAAGATGTTAAGTCAGGGACTAGTCAAGGTAGTTCATTGGTTGAAAGATACAATTGCTTTGAAGTAACATCAGACACATCTCTTTTTACTATCCCTATGTTCCTGTCCCTACTATGGCCACTCCTTCATTCTGGAAATACTTTCTCCCATTGGCGTCTGTGACGACACACTTGCCTGGGTTTTCTCCACCCCACCCGCTGTTCTGTCTCCCTCCTTTGCTGGCTCCTTTACACCCAATCTCTAAATGTTGGATCACCTCGAACATCTGTCCTAGGCCCTTTTCTTTTTCTGCGCCATCTAGTTTATCTCATCTAGTTCCTTAGTGATAAATTTAAGTCCTAAACTGATGGAAACTCAAATTTTTATCTTTAGCCCTGGATTTTTCCCTGAGGACTAAACCTGTATATGTCACTCTTGACTGGAGCTCCCACGTGTCCCCGACTGAGCTCTTGGTCTCACATATTTCTCAGTCTGTTCCTGCTTCAGTGTTCCTCACTTTAGTAAATGACACTGTCACTCACCCAGAGGCTGAAGACTAAAACTAGGA